AACAATTAAATTTCGGCATAAATTTACGCCAAAATGTATTCTGCAACATGTTTTGCTAAAAAAATCCCAATAAGTAAATTCATTGGTTTATGTGAAAGTTATAGCATTTTACAAATGGCGGTATATATACTGGGATTTTTTTTTTTTCATTTTTCTAGTAACAGCAGCAATCAGTGACTTATAGCGGGACTATGGCAGACATTCTGACACTGGGGGGGAAACTGAATTGGTGTCACTGACATCCCTAGTGATACCAATACAGTGATCAATGCTAAGAAAAAGCACAGACAGTGTACTAATAGCATTGGGCAGGAAGGAGTTAACATGAGGGGCGAGCAAAGGGTTAACTGTGTGCCGAGAGAGGTGTCTGTGTGTTTCACTGTAAGCACACTGATTGGGATGGCTGTACTGTGCACAGCCATCCAGAGCAGTTTGCCTGAGCTTACAAGGAAGAGTACTGTTAGTAAACAAAACAGTCCTCCTCTCTGTCAGTGATCATCGGAAATCACTGGGCACTGGCGAGTAATTACTGGCCGGGGCTCAGTGATTGACAGCCGTGGCCGCGAATGGCGGCGTGGGTAGGGAGCATGCACGCCCCCTACCCGGAAATGCAGAATCATATACACATGATTTTGTGCACCCGTGCCACCCTTTAGCAGTATTTCTGCTATAGGGCGGATGGGAAGCCGTTAAAGCAGTACCTTGTAAGTTTAGTTACTTTTTGCAAAGAAACTCATACTGTGGATTCACACACGTGGTGCGAACTAAAGCTCCGTTTTCACAGCTAATTGACACAGTAGTTCTTCAGCGGTTCAGGTCAGGTTTAGATCAGGATCAGGAGAGCAATCATGTTCACAAACTCATAACTTGTGATTCTGAAGCAGTTCCCATTGAAGTCAATGAGCCTGTAATCTGCATCTGAACTGGACCACACTGCTCAGAAATCATAAATGACTCTTTTTTAATCCACACTGAATCCGCGCTGCCAGTGCCCTGGACAAATGTGAATAGTCATCATAGGAAGCAATGTTATTTCACATGTCATGCGGTTTGGAACCCGCATCCAATCCGCATATATGTGAACTGGCTCTTAGCCACAGTTCACACATATGCGGTGCAGGAAACAATGTGATCCCTGTGCATTTCCCGCACCACATTAATTCAAAGTTAAGGACAACCAAAAAGTAGGTCACAAACGCAGTGCATTTGCCTGCACCTGATTGTATGATACAAAACGAGCATGCAATCCAGTTGCAGTGCAGCTAACAAAAAAAAGGTGCTCTGTGGTGCAATCTGAGCCCATTCAATATGAATGGGCTCAAATCACACCACACAGAATCGCATGTGAATTGCACTGTACTGCAAAAACATTCTAAAAAACATTCTAAAAAAGCACTGCAGAAACATAGCTACAAAAAACACTGCAGAAACATATCTACAAAAAAACACTTCAGAAACATAGCTACAAAAAACACTGCAGAAACATAGCTACAAAAAACACTTCAGAAACATAACTAAAAAAAAAGCACTGAAGAAACATAAATATATAATGTGTTGCGCTCCCAGTGACAATATTTTTGATGTATATATCTAATTAACTTTGATATGCAAATAATTCTCAGGTATTGAATAAAAATATACAAAATCAAACTATGTAAGTGATTTGAAAAAAATATATAAACCACTATAATGTATATAAATTAAATGATAATAACCGCAAAACCAATAAATAGTGCATAGTATACTAAAATATATAAATGAAAAGAATATACATCATAAATAGTGAATACTCAAAAAATTATATATATACTGCCAAATAATTGTGATATAAATGTCCTTTAAATTCAGTGACTTTGTGCTTGAATAAAATCTTGATTTGGTGACTTTTTGTGAATCTGTGACTTTCTTTGAATCCTCAATTGGTAAAGATGTATGCTCACCTCCTTGTTAGCCTGCAATTAGGCTATACACACTTGTGGTTCACCTCCTATGGAACCTGCTTGGATGGAATTCCTCCCTTATATATGGTGAGAACGTGGATATGCGTTATCCTCAAATAGCCCATGTGCGTATTTCCATATGTGGGAACAAATTGCCAGACATAGTGTTTTATCCTTATAAAAAGGTTTCTCCTTTATTACTTTCCAGCAGGTACACTCACATATGTGATATGCGGTATAGGATGAAATTGCTCAGCTCTAATGATCCGCCAGCCGTCCGGCCATGCACCTGCTCGTCTATCCGATACTCCAGCTCTCTCCGAGTGACACTGCAGCCCCACCCCTACGCGTTACGCCACCGGTCACGTGGCTTCATCAGGGGGTTGTGATCACAACCCCCTGATGAAGCCACGTGACCGGTGGCGTAACGCGTAGGGGTGGGGCTGCAGTGTCACTCGGAGAGAGCTGGAGTATCGGATAGACGAGCAGGTGCATGGCCGGACGGCTGGCGGATCATTAGAGCTGAGCAATTTCATCCTATACCGCATATCACATATGTGAGTGTACCTGCTGGAAAGTAATAAAGGAGAAACCTTTTTATAAGGATAAAACACTATGTCTGGCAATTTGTTCCCACATATGGAAATACGCACATGGGCTATTTGAGGATAACGCATATCCACGTTCTCACCATATATAAGGGAGGAATTCCATCCAAGCAGGTTCCATAGGAGGTGAACCACAAGTGTGTATAGCCTAATTGCAGGCTAACAAGGAGGTGAGCATACATCTTTACCAATTGAGGATTCAAAGAAAGTCACAGATACACAAAAAGTCACCAAATCAAGATTTATTCAAGCACAAAGTCACTGAATTTAAAGGACATTTATATCACAATTATTTGGCAGTATATATATAATTTTTTGAGTATTCACTATTTATGATGTATATTCTTTTCATTTATATATTTTAGTATACTATGCACTATTTATTGGTTTTGCGGTTATTATCATTTAATTTATATACATTATAGTGGTTTATATATTTTTTTCAAATCACTTACATAGTTTGATTTTGTATATTTTTATTCAATACCTGAGAATTATTTGCATATCAAAGTTAATTAGATATATACATCAAAAATATTGTCACTGGGAGCGCAACACATTATATATTTATGACTTTTTGGACACCTAGGTAGTGTTGTGTTGAGTGTTTGCGATCCTCTATATATATTTTGGACAGTGAGTGTCTATTCTCTTGGTTTTGAGAGGTTAATATTGGGTGGATACAGACTGGCTCGCAAGTCACACAGATATATGCTAACTGAAGAAACATAGCTACAAAAAACACTTCAGAAACATAACTAAAAAAAAAGCACTGAAGAAACATAGCTACAAAAAACACTGCAGAAACATAGCTACAAAAAACACTGCAGAAACATAGCTAAAAAAAACACTGCAGAAACATAGCTAAAAAAAGCACTGCAGAAACAAAACTACAAAAAAAAACAATGCAGAAACATAGCTAAAAAAAGCACTGCTGAAACATAGCTACAAAAAGCACTGCAGAAACATAGCTACAAAAAGCACTGCAGAAACATAGCTACAAAAAACACTGCAGAAACATAGCTACAAAAAACACTTCAGAAACATACCTAAAAAAGCACTGCAGAAACATAGCTACAAAAAACACTTCAGAAACATAACTAAATAAAAGGAATGTAGAAAAATAGCTACAAAAAGCACTGCAGAAACATAGCTACAAAAAGCACTGCAGAAACATAGCTACAAAAAGCACTGCAGAAACATAGCTACAGTTAAGGACAACCAAAAAGTAGGTCACAAACGCAGTGCATTTGCCTGCACCTGATTGTATGATACAAAACGAGCATGCAATCCAGTTCCAGTGCAGCTAACAAAAAAAAGGTGCTCTGTGGTGCAATCTGAGCCCATTCAATATGAATGGGCTCAAATCACACCACACAGAATCGCATGTGAATTGCACTGTACTGTAAAAACATTCTAAAAAACATTCTAAAAAAGCACTGCAGAAACATAGCTACAAAAAACACTGCAGAAACATAGCTACAAAAAACACTGCAGAAACATAGCTACGTTAAAAAAGAAAGAAATTGCATTCTCTCTGTGGCTTTTAAAATAAATCTGTCAAAAACCTGGGTAATTCAAACACATTTGATAAAAAATTCAAAACCAATAGTTATGTTCAATGTAAACCGCATGTCAAAGCAATCTTTCAATCTAGAGGTAATGACAGGTGAATTTCAATGTAAACCCCGACTTTTGCAAAAAAGCTTGGCACCACCCCTTTATGTTACTTCCCCCCCCCCCAAAGTACCTAATGGATCATACTAGTGATGGACATCATCAATGACCAACAATGAGGCTTGAGAGGCTCAGCTTTTACAGGAAAATTCTCATTCAGCTGCTTTTAGTTGTCAATCTGCCAACTGGGTTTACTGTGCTATTTTTTGCAGAAGGTAACCTTTTCTTTCAACTTATTTAGGTGTACATTTATTGAACAGAGATAATTTATATCATTTCAGTTCTCAGGGAAAAAGCATCTCCTCTGGCACCCGGTTTATGAAGTGGGGAACTTCTGTCGTCAGAAGGAGAGAGGAGAAGTCTTTCCTCTGAGAACAGCTGAGATCTGTGTAGGAGGGGAAGGGCTGCTTGTTGTCTCATGAGAGATTGTGTGATTACACAGCAGTCGAGTTTAAAAAGTGAAACCAAAGTTAAAAAGACTGTGTAAATCAGGGGTCCTCAAACTGCGGGCCGGGGCGTATCTGCAGCGTTCGGGAGAGCTTGGCAGGGCTCGGGCGGGATCAGGGGAAGGTGGGCTTGGCTTATGAACACGCACCACTCACCTGGCCTCTCTGCAGCCAGCTGGCCATCTATTCTGATCAGTGCATGCAACAGTCACGGCCGGAGGGTGGAGCCTAGAGCTGACCATGAAGAGGGGGAGAAAGAGAGGAGACTCCATCACTGCATGTCGGGTATCATGGCCAGAGACCCTAGATAAGTGCAATAGATGATCGATCTCCTCACTCTCTCTTTCCCCGCCCCTCCTCTCTCTCTCGACCCCATCCTCTCCCCCCCATCCTGTCTCTATCTCACTCCCCCTCCTCTCTCTCTCCCCTCCTTATCTCCCCTCTCTCTCCCCCCCCCCCCCCCCCCTCCCCCCCCCCCCTCTCTCCCTCTCTCTCTCTCTCTCTCTCTCATCTGACCCAACAAGGTGTCCTGCATTTACCGTATATTTCGCTTCATAAGACACACTTGGGGGGAAATGTCTGTGCATCTTATGGAGCAGTCGGTCCAGTATTCCCGCCGCCATTGTATGTCTGCAGTCTCTGGTCATCTCATGTTCTATGTCCGCAGTCTCTGGTCATCTCCTGTACTGTGTCCTCAGTCTCTGGTCATCTCATGTTCTATGTCCGCAGTCTCTGGTCATCTCCTGTACTGTGTCCGCAGTCTCTGGTCATCTCCTGTACTGTGTCCGCAGTCTCTGGTCATCTCCTGTACTGTGTCCGCAGTCTCTGGTCATCTCCTGTACTGTGTCCGCAGTCTCTGGTCATCTCCTGTACTGTGTCCGCAGTCTCTGGTCATCTCCTGTACTGTGTCCGCAGTCTCTGGTCATCTCCTGTACTGTGTCCGCAGTCTCTGGTCATCTCCTGTACTGTGTCCGCAGTCTCTGGTCATCGCCTGTACTATGTCCGCAGTCTCTGGTCATCGCCTGTACTATATCCGCAGTCTCTGGTCATCTCCTGTACTGTGTCCGCAGTCTCTGGTCATCTCCTGTACTGTGTCCGCTGTCTCTGGTCATCTCCTGTACTGTGTCCGCAGTCTCTTGTCATCTCCTGTACTGTGTCCGCAGTCTCTGGTCATCTCCTGTACTGTGTCTGCAGTCTCTGGTCATCTCCTGTACTGTGTCCGCAGTCTCTGGTCATCTCCTGTACTGTGTCCGCAGTCTCTGGTCATCGCCTGTACTATATCCGCAGTCTCTGGTCATCTCCTGTACTGTGTCCGCAGTCTCTGGTCATCTCCTGTACTGTGTCCGCAGTCTCTGGTCATCTCCTGTACTGTGTCCGCAGTCTCTGGTCATCTCCTGTACTGTGTCCGCAGTCTCTGGTCATCTCCTGTACTGTGTCCGCAGTCTCTGGTCATCTCCTGTACTGTGTCCGCAGTCTCTGGTCATCGCCTGTACTATATCTGCAGTCTCTGGTCATCTCCTGTACTGTGTCCGCAGTCTCTGGTCATCGCCTGTACTATATCCGCAGTCTCTGGTCATCGCCTGTACTATATCCGCAGTCTCTGGTCATCTCCTGTACTGTGTCCGCAGTCTCTGGTCATCTCCTGTACTGTGTCCGCAGTCTCTGGTCATCTCCTGTACTGTGTCCGCAGTCTCTGGTCATCGCCTGTACTATATCCGCAGTCTCTGGTCATCGCCTGTACTATATCCGCAGTCTCTGGTCATCTCCTGTACTGTGTCCGCAGTCTCTGGTCATCTCCTGTACTGTGTCCGCAGTCTCTGGTCATCTCCTGTACTGTGTCCGCAGTCTCTGGTCATCTCCTGTACTGTGTCCGCAGTCTCTGGTCATCTCCTGTACTGTGTCCGCAGTCTCTGGTCATCTCCTGTACTGTGTCCGCAGTCTCTGGTCATCTCCTGTACTGTGTCCGCAGTCTCTGGTCATCTCCTGTACTGTGTCCGCAGTCTCTGGTCATCTCCTGTACTGTGTCCGCAGTCTCTGGTCATCTCCTGTACTGTGTCCGCAGTCTCTGGTCATCTCCTGTACTGTGTCCGCAGTCTCTGGTCATCTCCTGTACTGTGTCCGCAGTCTCTGGTCATCTCCTGTACTGTGTCCGCAGTCTCTGGTCATCGCCTGTACTATATCCGCAGTCTCTGGTCATCTCCTGTACTGTGTCCGCAGTCTCTGGTCATCTCCTGTACTGTGTCCGCAGTCTCTGGTCATCTCCTGTACTGTGTCCGCAGTCTCTGGTCATCTCCTGTACTGTGTCCGCAGTCTCTGGTCATCGCCTGTACTATATCTGCAGTCTCTGGTCATCTCCTGTACTGTGTCCGCAGTCTCTGGTCATCGCCTGTACTATATCCGCAGTCTCTGGTCATCGCCTGTACTATATCCGCAGTCTCTGGTCATCTCCTGTACTGTGTCCGCAGTCTCTGGTCATCTCCTGTACTGTGTCCGCAGTCTCTGGTCATCTCCTGTACTGTGTCCGCAGTCTCTGGTCATCGCCTGTACTATATCCGCAGTCTCTGGTCATCGCCTGTACTATATCCGCAGTCTCTGGTCATCTCCTGTACTGTGTCCGCAGTCTCTGGTCATCTCCTGTACTGTGTCCGCAGTCTCTGGTCATCTCCTGTACTGTGTCCGCAGTCTCTGGTCATCTCCTGTACTGTGTCCGCAGTCTCTGGTCATCTCCTGTACTGTGTCCGCAGTCTCTGGTCATCTCCTGTACTGTGTCCGCAGTCTCTGGTCATCTCCTGTACTGTGTCCGCAGTCTCTGGTCATCTCCTGTACTGTGTCCGCAGTCTCTGGTCATCTCCTGTACTGTGTCCGCAGTCTCTGGTCATCTCCTGTACTGTGTCCGCAGTCTCTGGTCATCTCCTGTACTGTGTCCGCAGTCTCTGGTCATCTCCTGTACTGTGTCCGCAGTCTCTGGTCATCTCCTGTACTGTGTCCGCAGTCTCTGGTCATCTCCTGTACTATGTCCGCAGTCTCTGGTCATCTCCTGTACTATGTCCGCAGTCTCTGGTCATCTCCTGTACTATGTCCGCAGTCTCTGGTCATCTCCTGTACTATGTCCGCGGTCTCTGGTCATCCCCTGTACTGTGTCCGCATTTGTTCATAGTTTTTTTTTTTTTAAACTATAGTCTGGCCTCCAATGGTCTGAGGGACAGTGAACTGGCCCCGTTTAAAAAGTTTGAGGACCCCTGGTATAAATACACTGCAAAATGCATTGACCGCTTATTTTAACTTGCAGTTTTTTAATCACATTTTGAGACATTCTTTGAATGGGTATTTTGGCCCCTTTTTATTTCACATTTTGGCATTATGTAGACGCATTTTGCTGAGTTTTTTTTGGTGTGGGTTTTTAATGTGTATTTTGGTGTTTTTTTAAACACACATTTTGGCGCTTTAAGGCACATTTTGGCACACGCATTTTGGTGTTTTGGCACTTCTTTTAGCACACATTTGACACTTTTTTAATGTGCATTTTGGCAAACAACACATTACCAATATGGCGGAGGCTTCGTTTGACAGTTCGAGCCCAGATAACTACTGAAGCATTTCACAATTAATTATTTAATCAGAATGACAAAGAGAAAGTGAAAGATATATCATATAAAGAGTAGCAAGATGGATCTGGATTAAGGTTTCTGTTTATGAAAGAGAGAAAAGCTGAGATCCTGATGATCACAGCTGATCTCCCAGGTGTGCCAGTTTATGAAGCTGAGGCAAGGAGCGGAGAACAGTTTCTTCACTTCTCATCAAAAGACATACCTTTCTGTCATTAACTTTTAGGCCTGGTTCACGCTATAGAAACGCAGTCCAGATGCGTTCTTGCATTCACATTTTTTACACTTTTTGGCGCATTCCAGTGCAGGTTTTTTGCATTCCAGTTAATTTTTCCCCCTCTCTTTTTCTTTAATTTAAATATTATTATTATTATACAGGATTTATATAGCACCAACAGTTTGCTCAGAGCTTTACAATATAAAGGGAGACAATACAGCAATAATACAGTTCAATACAAGAGGGTTAGGACAGCCCTGCTCCTTGGAGCTTACAATCTAAGAGAGGAACATGTGCGTTCCAGTGCGTTTTGGTGCATTCCGGAGCATTTTGATGCATTTTACTGCATTCCAGTACAGTTCTGTGCAGAAAAAATACAGCATGTTCTACCTTTTTCTGCAACTGGAATCCACAGGAACTGCAAGCACAGATGTGAACTATGACATTGACAACCATATAACTACTTTCTATGAGTTTTGGATGCAGACAAAAAGCAACTGAAATGCATGTAGTGTGAACTGGCCCTTACAGGGATGGCTAGTTTATGAAGGTGAGATCTGAAGATCTCACTGGCCATCACTTTAAAATATCTCCCTCCCAGATTCTCCAGCCCAGAGCTGGAGAATCTTGGTGAGAAGCTGCTGTGATGTGAGGAAGAAGGCTTCTTTCTTCCTGATATCAGCACCTGCGGGGTTAAACATTAATATAAAGTATAACTATATACGTTTATATGTATATTTGTGTTTTATATATAGTGTGTGTATACAGTATAGTTACAGTGTATTGTCGTTTAGAATGCATTCATACCTGAGCAATGCAGAATTGTTGGCAGAATTGCACGATTCTTGCTGCAATTCCAAATTGTGCTAAAATTGTGTTAAAAGATGCCGTGTGCTTATGGGTGCCATTCATTGTTAATGGCACCCCAAATGCTGGTAGCGGACATGCATTTTGCCACACATTTTGTCATTTTACAAATACGCCATCAACGCACCAAAATGTGCATTGAAAAAAACACACAACACTCGATGCCCAAAAAAGGTTCAGTTTCGCTTTTTTGGGCCTTTTTAATACACATTTTGGTTCAGCTTTAACAAACATTTTGCTGCTTTTTTCAACACACATTGTGTACAAAAATGTGAGTTGAAATGTGTATGTGAATTTTGGTGCTTTTTTAACATGTATTTTGGCAAATTTTGTACCTGCTTTTTTGTGTGTGTTCTGGAAACACATGCAAAAAGCATGTCTTGTTTTTGGTGCCATTATTTGTTAATGGCACCCAAAAGTGGCTAGCAGATGTGCAGTTTGACAAAATATGCTAAAAACCAAATCAAAATGCACTTGAAAAAAGTGCCAAAATCTGCATTACAGACCACATCAAAATGCATGTTAAAATAACATGTGCCAAAATGTGCGCTAAAGCGCCTAAATGTGTGTTTAGAAAAGCGCCAAAATGCACATGAAAAAAAACCCCACAGCAAAATGCGTGTTAAAAAAATACAGTATTTTAAAAAGCAGCAAAATGCACGTAAATAAAGCTAAAATGTGCAATAAAAAGGAGCCAAAATACACATTTAAAGAGTGTGCCAAAATTGTGTGTTAAAAAGTGCCAGTGGTCAGTGCTTCTTATTTTCATGTAATTACACGGTCTTTTTAACTTTGGTTTAAACTCAGGTGATCTGTAATCACACAATTATCTCAGGAGATCACATGCAGCCTCTCCCCCTTCTACACAGATCTCAGCTGTTCTCAGAGGAAAAACTTCTCCTTTCTTCTCCTTCTGAGAACAAATGTTCTCCGCTTCATAAACGGGGACAGAAGAGAAGATTTTCCCCTGAGAAATGAAATGAGATAAATTATCTCTGCTTAATAAACGTACACCTTAGTCATCATGTGTTCAGTTTAGCTTGCCCAAATGTGTAACAGGTTTACATTAAAAACTACAAAGCAATAGTTACTTTATAATGAACTTGTGTGATGGCTTTTATATTGTACACATTATCTACAGCAGTCTTTTTCACCCAGGGTGCCTTCTGGGTTCTTTAGGGGTGCCTTGGCAAAATGCCTAAAAATTGGCCCAATTTACCCAAAAGTTGTGTACAAGCCAGCGGATGGATCAGGCCTTTCTGTTACACAAAGTCACAGGTTTTCATTGTGCAACATTACAATCCTGGGTTCCAAGGATCCCAGCCTTCAGTATCCTAACAACTGCTGAAGTCATTGGCTGATAAGGAGGTCATCAGGTGACGGTCACTTTGTTTGATACCCTCCCCCCCCTCTCTTTTAGCAATGGGGTCATGTTAGATGGAGAGAGAAAATTATGCAGGCCATAGATGGGTCGAAAATCGGCCGATTTTTCTTTAAAAAAACAAAAAAAATCGGTCGTTCAAGCGGCCAACGTTACCAGCAACGGTTAAAAAAAAAAAATCAGCCGATTTTCATCCCGTCTAGAGCTGGCAAAAAGTGTCCCTGCAGAGAGCTCCGCTATTTCTTTGACAGTTCCTTGACATTTATAGCGGTTGCAACATTGTATCTATTTGTATCCATTTAGGATACAGATGTTTTTATTCGGAAGCAAATAGATACATTGTTGCAGCAGCTATAAATGTCAAGGAACTGTCAAAGAAATAGCGGAGCTCTCTCCAGGGTTACTTTTTTGCCGGACTGGAATTCCTCTTCTTCTTCATCCTCTTCTTCTTCCTCTTCTTCATCTTCTTCTTCTTCCTCTTCTTCATCCTCTTCTTCTTCTTCTTCATCCTCTTCTTCTACTTCTTCTTTATCCTCTTCTTCATCCTCTTCTTCTTCTTCATCCTCTTCTACTTCTTCATCCTCTTCATCCTCTTCTACTTCTTCCTCATCCTCTTCTTCTTCCTCTTCTGCTTCTTCTACTTTCTTCCTCTTCTTCATCCTCTTCGTCTTCTTCCTCTTCTTCTTCCTCTTCTTCTTCATCCTCTTCTTCCTCTTCATCCTCTTCTTCTCCATCCTCTTCTTCTTCTCCATCCTCTTCTTCTCTTTCCCTTCTCCTTCTTCCTCTTCTTCTCTTCCCCTTCTCCTTCTTTCTCTTCTTCTTCATCCTCTTCCTCTTTTTTCTTCTTTTTGTCTTCCTCTTGCAGGTCACTGCTCAGATTTTTTTTATCGGTAAAAGATCGGCCGATTTGCCCATCATTGCCGCGAAAATCGGCCGATCGGCAAAATCGGCCGATTTTTTTCCAACTTTACTGATAAAAAAAATCTGCCAAAATACCGAAAAAACGGCCGAACATTTAGCCCACTAACGATCCGAAAATCGGCCGATTTTATTTTCGACCGAAAAATCGGCCGATTTTCGACCCATCTATGGCCTGCATTAGAGCTATAATGGAAAATAGAAAATAACGGAATACCAATAAGTACTAGTGTGCAAACGTATATGTGCTTTGTAAGAATAAATCACCTCAATTGGTAAATTGCAAAATAGTGAATGTTTACTCTTGGGTTCAGTACTGCTTTAAGGATTAGAAAATAATTATGAATGTTAATAAATTGAAAATAAAAACAATTTTATTTTTTTAAAAGGAAAGAATCCTTTCTCTGATCAACTTGCCCCCTCTTTGGTTCTAACATGGTTTGACCCCCTCCCTTCTGTTTCCAACAGTCTTGAAGCTGTCTCATATTTTTGTCCTTTTTTTTTTTTTAAAGAAAAAACTTAATATGGATAAGACAGAACCTATCTAGTTTCCCATCTCAATCTGCTAACCTAAAATAACAATTAATTTCAGTTACACCCCAATAACTCCAGAGCCACAAGCTAATTGCTTAGGGAAAAAATATGATTCTG